ATGATTATTATTTTCATATGATTTTGCTTTGATTGTGTGATTATTTTGTATTTATTGTTTTTATGTGATGAACATGATGAGATTGAGAAATAATTCATGTTAAGCTTCTTGGGTAATCACCATTGTAGTATTAAATGCTAGAAATAGATTTAAGAATCAATGAATTCAATCTAGGATTCTTTGTGCTTAATGAGCTTTGAATTATTACTCTTCAATTTGTTGGGTGCGGAAGTCTAATAGGGAAGAGTAAGGAAATATAGCCTGAGAAGGTATATTTTACACTTTAGAAAGTTCGATTTACAATCGATGCATGTAAATATGGAATTAGTATAATCCTTAGGTTTAACCCATGGAGTCCGAATAAAGTCAAAACCCTGCCTGTTTGTTTGAATTGATTATATCCTTGTTTTTGATCTTGCTTTCATAATTTAGTTTTGAATATTTAGAAATTTTGTTTAAGTTTAATTTTCCTCCCTTCAATCTAAACAACTCGATTGCTCCAACTTGAAAACAATAGAAAAACTTAGCGCTTAGCAACCAATTCTCGTGGGAATGATACTCACTCATCACTTTATTACTTGTGCGACTAGTACACTTGCTACATTTACATGTTTATGAAAATACGCATCAGCCCCCTTACAAGCATGTCAAGCCGGACAAACCAACAAAGGTAAGAAAGCGAGATCCAAAAGAGGAACCCAAGAATAAAAGGGTTTCCACGCATGGGTGTACTATTTGCAATGCCCTAGGCCATAACAAAGGGTCTTGCAAGGATAATCCAGCTAGAGTAAATAACAAGGCAAACCAGAAGGTATTATTAATTAATTCATTTTATCTATTTTTATGTTGCTGATTTTCTAACTAATATTGTTTCACTTTTCTGATGTTGTAGAGAACATTTGTAACAACTATGACTACATCATCCTCAAGGGCTAGGTTTCCATCTTCTTCACCTCAAAACAATGCTCAACAATCTCACAATATATGTGACAACAAGATTTAAACATTCTACTTTGTCTAAATTAATTTTTAAATAGTCATGACTCTATAAGTTTTAAACATTCTACTTTGTGTAAATTAAGTTATAGTTTAATCTGCATGTTCATAGCCTCTTTAAGTAATGTGAGTTTGAACTTCCAAATGCATCGCAAGAAAAGGTAGTTTTTGCAAAGGCAACTATGTGTGTTAAGGTTTATTTAGATTATATTTCCTCTCTTTCTAGTTTTGGTCACAACCTCTTTGGAAATTGTTGATTTGTTTTGGTATGATGTTGATTGGTTCTTATTGTGGCTGAAGCCTAAACTGATTTTTTTTATTCTTCTTCATTGTCATTGTCACTAGTTTGTGGAAATTGTTGCTCTGTTTTGGTTTGATGTTGATTTCTTATTCTTGTGGCTACACAAGTTTTTTTTTTCTTTATTGTCATTGTCACAAGTTGTTTGTGGAAATTGTTGCCCTGTTTTGGTCTGATGTTGATTACTCATTCTTGTGGTTGCACCCTAAACTGTTTTTTTTTTTTTTTTTTTCCCTTCTTTCTTATCATTGTCAGAAGTTGTTTGTGGAATTTGTTGCTCTGCTTTGGTCTGACGTTGATTACTTCTTATTGTGGTTGCACCCTAAATTGATTTTTTTTTTTTTTCCTCTTCTTTGTCATTGTCACAGGTTTTTTGTGGAAATTTTAAACAGCAGCATAACCATCTTTGCCAACGATGGCAAATCTTTAACCGATCGCATTTTGCTCATTTTTTATGTTGTACACTGGAGAATGAATTTGTTTTGATGATATTGAATCAAGATTCTTATGTTTAAAATATAAGTTATTTTTACCCAAACTTTCTATTCTCCTTTTTTAAAAACATCTATAAGGTGCGTTTGTTTCAGTATTTTTGCATTATCATATCCCTATCCTGTCCAAAATACACATTTATTTTCCTATTATGAAAATCCTATTATATTTTATTCAATTTTTTTAAACCCCTTAGGTTTGTTAATTTAACTAAACACCCTAAAAAAAGTTTAGAAATTGACAAAAACACCCCCATCCACCCACATTTACCAAATTTCGGCCACCACTACCGGAAAGTGGCCAAAATATAGTATAATAGCACACTACTGACCGGATTTGGTCGGTAGTGCGTCGATCTAGCATTTTCCAACCAGATCTACAGCCAAAGATCTAGTCGTAGCTAATTGTCAACAACGGCCAAGATATGGCTGTCGTTGACGACCAAACGCGGCCAGATCTGGTTGTCAACTACTAAATCTAGCCGTAGATTTGGCATTTTCTTGGAAAAGGCCATATCCAGCACGACAGACCGGATCCAACCGGTTGTGTGGTGATACGGAAACTCCAACTACCCTCCGACAGTGGTGGCCGACTGTTGGTATTTACTGGGTGGGTGAGGGTGTTTTTGTTAATTTTTAATGTTTTATTACAAGGGTGTTTAGTAAGTTAACAAACCTAAGGGGTGTTTTCATTGACGACCAAACGCGACCAGATCTGGTCGTCAACGACTAAATCTAGCCGTAGATTTGGCATTTTCTTGGAAAAGGCTATATCCAGCACGATCGACCAGATCCAACCGGTTGTGTGGTGATACAGAAACTCCAACCACCCTCCGATGGTTGTGGTCGACTGTTGGTATTTAATGGGTGGGTGAGGGTGTTTTTGTTAATTTTTAATGTTTTATTACAAGGGTGCTTAGTAAGTTAACAAACCTAGGGGTCTTTTTTGTTAATTTTCAAATCTTACATCGAAATAACCACCCAATTCTCACTTTTAAAAAAATTCTATCCAAAAAATTTTCAAATGCTTTTATTGTCATTATTGCATGTTTGCTGGTTGAAGAGGTCTGATGAAAACATTTCCAAATATTATTGGGTTTGGGGTGACTAAAATGCATTGTGATTTTACAATCTTATTGACAAAGTAGACGTGATACAAATATCAGCTCAATACGCAACACATAAACAAACAAAATAGTAATTTCATTTGTGTCAATTTTTCATAATATGAGGGTTACTCATTTGCTCTGTTTTAAAAACCGGACCGGAGGACCGGCCAGTCCAACCAGTTGGACCGGGACCTGGGGCTTTCTCCAGGTCAGGTCACTCTTTTTAACTGTTTCAAGTTTAAAATATAACAAACACACCTCTAATTAATACGCATCAGTCCCTGAAGGTTTCAAATCTAGCAAACACACCCTCTAGCCAAATGCAAATCGGCAATGACCTCCCCTTTTCCAGGGACCTTCCACCTTCCACCTTCCTTTACTGTCGGAAACCACCTTCTGACTTTCTTTGGCGCTATCACGCTTCATCTCCAGTCGCCGCATGATGTTTCGTCGTCCACCTTCGCTGCGTGATTTTTCTTCCATTTCTTGGCATCGATCGGCCTTCTCTGGCATCGACAAGCTTCCTCAGCCACCAATCTAGCTTCTCCCAAGCTCTCTTGCCGTCGTCCACGAAGATCCAGTCATCTCACCAAAAAAAAGCCACTGCGACCATTAACTTCCACCACCGATCTGCCCTTTTTTGGCGATGCCTCTACTTGCTAGCTACCGATTCGCCCTCCCCATCATCCGATCTACCTTCCCTGGTGTGTCGCCGCTGCTGTCCCAATCGATCTCCGATTTGCATTTGACCAGGGTTGTGTTTGCTAGATTTCAAACCTATAGGATCTGATGGTATTTATCAGGAGTGTTTTTGTTAGATTTTAAACCTGTCAAACCATCGGTTCAACCGACGATCCAACTGGTTGGACCGGTTCAACCGTGACCCGGCCATCAGAGCGGGTTGCCCTCTGGTCCCGTTTTTAAAACAATGCTCATTTGTTAAAAAAATTTGAGACATAAGTAATTATTGTTAAAAGATAGGGTATCTCAATAGTTTTATTATTAAAATAAGGGTACATATGTATTTCACTCACATATAATAAAAAAAAAAAAAAAAAAAATTCAGTCAAACAGTTAAGGGTTTTTCGTCTTTACAATAAAAATATATGTTTTTAATGGAAATTGTTAACAGAGTTTTTATTGCAAGTAGCAAAAAGGTATTTGAATAGTGGACGGGTATGAATTTGTCAATGGGTCATTTTTCAGGTGGAAACATGTCGTTAACTCTAAGGGTGTATTTGGTTCAAAGAATATTGTATTATTGAAAATATTACATTAAGGAAAAGATAAATTACCTTGAAGATTATAAGGAATGTTTAAAAAAATGTGTTTGGTTGATTAGAATAAATTGATAGGTACGTTATATTAATATGTTTGGTTAGAAAGATTAAATTGACGAGTATGATATATAATTTACTAAATTACCCTCATTTTTAAATACTAATATAATATTATTTTTATAATTATTTTTTAACCCCCTACGTTTGAGATATTGTTAAAACATCCCAACAACAAAAAAAAAAATTTTAAACTTAACAAAAACACCCCCATCCATCTCCCAGCCACTACCGACCACCTACCAGCACCGTTAGTAGCAACAACAATGGCCGTAACAGTGCCCGACCAGATATGACCGATCGTGCATCGATATGGCCACCAAATCTACAACCAGAACTAGTCGTCAACTGTCAAAGTTCTAGTAGTTGACGACCATAATCTAGTCATTCGGCCATTAAAGACAGCTAGGGATCTGGTGGTCGTTAATAGCCCAAAGTCGTAGATCTAGCCAAAACTAGCCAAAATCGATCTAGCCGTTTTTTACCAGATCTACGACGATTTGGCAGTTTTCGACCAGATATATGATTGGAAATAGCCATATCAACGTACGACTGGCTAGATCCGACCAGTTATACGCCGTTAAGGCATCAACGTCTAGTGGCTGGTGATGGTGGCCGACCATCGACCACTACCCTTGGGTAAGTTTTTCAAAGTTCAAGAGCATTTATGTCCTAAAAATTTTGTATATAAGGATAAAATAATCCATTAGTATTTTTGTAAATTATTTTTAAAATAAAGACATTATTGTTTTTACAGTTCCTAATGCAAATGAATGTCAGGGAAAAAAAAAAAAAATTTGCTAGGCATTGAAAACTATACATTTTATATGAAGATGGTTTTTGAGCAAAAATGTGATACTAGAGACCAGTTTTCAGACGTTTCTTTCACAATTTCTCTTGCTATTTCTTATAAAATCTACCTACTATACAAGGGAAAGAAAAGAAACGAATGAACAGTACAGAAATTATTCAGCAAGAGTATTAGAGTCCAACTGCTTACGGCTTACAAGAACACCTTCATCCCATATTTCAATGCATCTGCAAATACAATCATTTGAGCAAGCTGATCAGGTTTGTTATACAACAATGTTATTACACCTATATTTTCATTGGGAAAATAATGAGATCATGAAGCAAAGAGGAAAAATAAATAGCTGGTGATCTTAGATTCAAATGTCTGTAATCTGCAACTACTCCATGAACAAATGAATGTTAAGAACCTCAATACGCACAAAAAAATCTAGAAACAATATTGAAGATAAAGATAGGGCAACAGAGCAATCAGACATAAAGACTTAGAACCAAGCGCAAAAAAGAGGCTTGGCTTCAAAAGGAATTGAATATACACCAAAACACGGAAACCAACTGAACTGTTTATAATGTTGATACATAAACCTTTCTTTATCTAGTCGAAATTGAAGCTGTCGAATTGATGTAGGAAAACTTTCAGAATTTCATTAAGTTTAATATAAGTGACACCACAATGCCATGCTAGTCGCAGCATGGTCATATACAAAACTTGTAAACCCTCAAAATTCCTAGCACTTGAGATATTGAAAAAACAGCTATGGCGTTGAGATTTTCAGACGTTAAGCTCCTTTCATTGAGAAGTGAGACGTAAATTGGGGAGGAGGATGCATCAATAAGATTAAAAGAATAATGAAATCAGGCTCAGAGAAATTTGAAGAAAAAATGAGGGGCATACCCCCAAAGCCTAAATCCTACCAAAATAATCAATACAAACTGCTAAACTCTATCAGTGTTAGCCATACCAAATCTTACACCCAACCACTGTAGGAATTAGTATGCACCCGGAGGAAGAAATGCAACTACGCAAAATGGCAAGTAACAGTAACTTTATAATATCAGCAACCCATTGACAATAAATTAACTGAGAAATAGCATTGATTGCAAGTGTGGAACTCTAAATTTATTAGTGATATTTCTCTTTTACCTCCTGCAACCACCCAAATCAGGGGGAAAAAAATGAAAAATAACAAAGAGTTGAAAAGCTTAACGAAAGTGGTCTACTCTGATGCATACTTTCGGAAGGACAGTAAAAAATCTTCTTTCAAATTGAATTCTTAATCACAGGAAGGCATGTAGCAGATAATAATGTTAAATTCAGTACACTATTGCAGCAGACAATGAAGGTAAATAATTGTCTGTTATTTCTAGTAAATGAAAGATAGCATATCAGGGTTTAAAGAGAGTTTAAAGATTGCCTATTTGTTAACATTCTGATTAAATTTCATATTGCTTCTGAAATGAAAATTAACAAAGAGTTGAAAAGCTTAACGAAAGTGGTCCACTCTGATGCATACTTTAGGAAGGACGATAAAATATCTTCATTCAGATTGAATTCTTAATCACAGGAAGGCATGGAGCAGATAATGATGTTAAACTCAGTACACTATTGTAGCAGCCGATGAAGATACATAATTATGTCTGATATTTCTAGTAAATGAAAGATAGCATATCAGGGTGGAAAAGAGAGTTTAAAGATTGCCTATTTGTTAACATTTTGATTAAATTTCATATTGCTTCTGAAATATGAAAAGGTTATATAGCAAAAGGAATACACACCTTTCTCCAGCAACATCAATGCAAAGGAAGTGGCCATGTCGCCATCCATCTTGGAAATGACCGAAAAAAACATCACCAGACTTTGAATAGAAGCGGCCCTCACCATTGGCCTTCCCCTTCCAGAAGTTTGCAAACCATCGATCCCCAGTGTGGAAATAGAACCAACCCTTCGTGACCACAGATAATAAACACTTCAGCATTATCTAGAAAGACACCCCCACAATTCCATCATATATGCTGGTTACTTATTGTCAAGAAAAAGAAATCCAATTCTATCTATTTTTGTCAATTACAAATGGAAGATGCAGTTTGTAATGCAGTAGTTAAAGAGAAATAATTGCACATGATATATGTTAATATTTAGACTTGAGAAACTGACAGTCATATATACTTGCATGAAACATAAACAAGATAGGAGAATTATATGTTGATTGGTTGAAACACGAGCAAGATGTCTCTTTGAAACAAGATTTCAAACAATTTCATAAACTATACACATCCTAAAGTCATCAGTGCTACAGCTAATAGTTACTAAACAGAGCTTTACTTCATCAAAACATCAAGGTGCTCCAATGGGAAAAAGACTTTGCTGCTGATTTCCATATAAAAATTTACACAATAATTTATGTGAGTTAAAGATCTATATCCATCATTACTATAATTCGAAACATTGTCCAGTGGCCATGGTGCCGCTCTCACCCCTCCACACCCCCCTCCACAGGCCTGTACCTGGCTCCATTACCACTTGACGTTTAACTGGTTTTAGTTCATGTCTCCAAGCATTTTTATACTATATAACAAACATTTATACTGTTCTCATTAAAATATCCTAAATGCTTGTAAAACGTTAATGTTAACAAGCAAAATGTGTTGAGTAAATTCCACAATTTCACAACCAAAGCAGTATCAAGATGACAACTTCAATTGAATTACTAAAAAGGAAAGTTCTTGTCAAAATCAACAATTGAAACTACAATAAGACCGTACATGAGGTAATTTCACTAAGGTCTCTAACCTTTAGTTTAAAGATAATAAAATCTTGTGGTTGAGGGTTCAAAAATCATCATAGAGGTCCCTAATATTAGAAATGGTTTAAATCTGTTTTCATGTCCCTAATAGGATCAGCAGTGATTACTAGATTCAAGCTTAAATGAGAAAACAAACCTTTCCATGCATGACATCATCTCTCCATGAACCCTGAAATACATCTCCATTACTGAAGTAATATGTACCCAGACCTGATTTCTTACCATAACGCCACATACCATCATATATGCTTCCATTAACAAGGATCAAACAACCCTGCATCCAAAATCTGGCATTTAATTCTTTTACTGACAACAGAACATATGTGGTCCAGAAAAGGCGTTCCAAATACCTTTCCTTCAGGAAGACCTCCTTGGCATCGTCCCTGATAGACTCCTCCTCTGTACTGCATCTCTATCACAGGAGTCCACTTTTTTGGTGAATCACGTTCAGCCTCCTGCAGTGAAATTAAACAATCAGGATCAAGTCTGATGAGAACCCACTCCCAACTGAGCCAACCACAACGGAAACAGAAAGCAAAATACAATAAACCCAGAAAATAAGCAGTAAACAGTAGCCAAATAACCCAGAAACTAATAGACTTCTATATTAATATTTCATCAAGCAAATACACTTGTAATGAAACTAACAATTACTACCTAACAGCACAATGGCAGCAAACAACAAAATATACTCAGCACATCAACCCAAAAGGACAAAATCAAAATATGAAAGGAAAAACAATGCTGGATTTCGAGGGCCAGCTCCTCCCTAATTGCTAACTTCGAGGGTTAGCTCCTCCAAAATTTCCTTATATTCTTCCCTCTCCTAATCTGCTCTCTCCCTCTTTTTATGCTCCAGCTCTCTCTCTCCCCCAACTGAATTCCTTTGCTGTTCCAACCCTCAATCGCCACCTGTCCCAGCCTAGACCCATGGAAGTTTCTTGCCAACATCCCCTCAATCCACTATTTGCTACCTTATTTCACTTTTCCTACACCGTCATTGTCCAGGTCCCATCCAAGTCATTGCGTATTGAATTGATAATTATGAAAAATAGATCAACTTCAAGTAACCAAACAGTTAACAGGGTATACCACTATATTAGGAGCCTCCAATTACAGAGGCACATTTGAATTTTTTTTGTTACCATCATGTAGAAAGAAACTGAGACAATAAAATTCCGTCTTGTGCTAGACCCTAAAAATTCTAGAAAGTTGAATAGGTTTCTGTTTTAATGGATTAACCATGTGTTCAAGATGGCACGAACTAAAATATACAAAGCAATTTGTTGGCAAGCCAAGTCCAAAAAATAACGCACTAGGAGCAGATATTCAAAGCTACTATTCACCACAAGACATATATTACAACCATGGTTAACATATAAATTAATCAAGTTTAAGAAAATCTACAATTTTCTTTAAAAAAAAAAAATAACAAAAAAAGCAGGATATTTGCTTTGCCATCTCTATGAATGGGCTCAACATAGCAGAGAGCAAAATTTATGGAATGTGATAGAAAGACCTTAAATATCCATAGTGTCTGAATGCTTCTGAAAGCAATATGATTTTGAACTTGAAATTGACCCAAAAAACATCATTCATACATGATGCAACAGCTTCTTAAGATTTTGATAAATTTTGGGAAATAGCGCCAAAACATAGAGGATATCACTGTCTTTCAAATGGACAAATAGTTATAGAGAAATTAGAACCAAACCTAAAATTTATTAAGACTATTCAATAATCTTGTTTGGCAAATTTCTTTTTTGTTTTTTTTTATACGACACATTAAAAAATTAGGGTTGCATTTGTTCAAGTTTTTAAACCCCATCCTATCCTATTATCCTATCCAATCTAGTGAAATACATACTTGTTTTAATATTGACTATTCAATAAAATCCAATCTTTTTCTATTCAACTAAAAAATTTAACAATTACTTTTCTCAATAAAAGTTTATAAACTAACAAAAACATCCCAACTCACCCAATTATTGCCGACAGTTGGAATGGCGCACGACTGGCTGGATCTGACAGATCGTGGGCCGATCTAACCGTTTCCGAGCAGATCCACCATGGATCTAGCCGAAACGGCCAAAGATCTGGCCGTTGACGACGGCCATATCCCGGCCGTTGTCAATGGCCAGATCTTTGGCCGTAGATTTGATCGGATAAGGCCAGATCGACGCACAACCAGCTAGATCTAGTCGGTTGTGCGCCATTCTGACGACTTTCAGCCACCACCATTCAACGGTGGTGGTCGGCTGCCGACAATAGTTGGGTGGGTGGGGGTGTTTTTGTTAATTTATAAACTTTTATTGTTGGAGGATTAGTTAAATTAACAAATATAAGGAATTAAAAAATAATCTAAATATTTTTCAAAAATGTACCAAACATATTCTCAAAATCCTATCCTATTTGATTAAATCCTATTCAAAATAAAATACTATTCTAAAAACTTAAACAAATGCAGCCTAGGTATTTTTATACGTGTTAAAGAAACTTTAACCCATTAGTGTAGTTCAAAGACGATGTGATTCAAAAGAATCAATAATGCATTGTACTTTCTACTATGCAAACAGGAAAAGCTGTAACTTTCTCTTATAAATTACTCAACATACTTAGATGATAAACCCAACAAAATTATTTCAAATTCCATTTTTGCTGAAAAAATACTTATTATATATTTAAATACGAAACATTTAATTTTTCTCTCAGAATGTTTGAAAATTATTTAGAACTAGATACATTGGCATAAGAAAAAATAGCTTTTCAGAAGACATGTATGCCTCAAAACTAAATTGTGCACTGAAAATTACCAGCATAGATGCTGCACGACTCGAAAGGCCTCCTTTTTTCTTTTGACCATCAGCAGTTCTTCCCTTCAAAAGGGAAGAGGCGGTGCTATATAAGTCCCTAACTAGTGGTAGTGCTTTAACATCATCTCCAGTCTTTGGCTCTTGCAGTTTTGAAATATTTAATATACTGGCCCTGTCTTTAAACTCCTCTGACAGTCTTACACCAACAGGAAGGCAGAAGATACTCAGGTTATCAAGTGTTGAGGTAGACCCAGAGTCAGCTGCCCTTTCTCTAGCCCACTTTTGTGCAGTCCGATATCCAGGTCCCAAGTTCCAACCATCGAGCGGTTCTCTTTGGAAGGAAGGAGTTCCTAAATAATGCATTTTAACCATGATTGCCAAATAAAAATATTGGCAGGATTTTACAACTGTCCAAATTGGTAAATCAATTGTAACAATGGCAAGAAAGTTTACATAGCTACCTTCCGTAATTTGATCATAGAAGTTGGAAGGCTCAGTCCTGGGATCAAATAATTCAGCTTTGCTTTGTCCAGACACACTATTATGAATTCCAGAATAGCAAAAAATTAACGAGACTTTTAATGCGTGAGAAACATAAGGGTGACTTAATCTAAAAGGAAAAACAATTAACCTGGAATCATTATAGTTGTCATTGCCCAATACTGTCTGTGCTTCTTCAGAGTAGTTAAATCTTTCCATGACAGCAATAATATTTTCCATTTCACCAGGTTCTGGTGAACTAATCACTTTAGGAAGGCATGCATCCTCAATTGCATTTTTTCCTTGAGTATTGTTTGCTTTTGGATGGGATCTCCGCCATAAATTAGAAACAAAGGGAAAATGAAGAGCCAATCTAGATAAAATGCTGCTTTTGTGCGAGGCCTGCTGTTCAAGAGAACTGTTAACCACAGGAAATTATGTGAGACATTAAGATATAAAAGCATAAGCAAAATTAGATTCATAACTTAAAATTGACCACCACCCACTACTCTTCTTCTTCATTTTATCATTTCTGGCAATCAAAGTGTTCATGACTGTTACAGCACTCAAGTTTAAATGCAGTCTCCCCGTCTCATAAGCACTAGCAGATTACCAAGAAAAATCTGTAGGACACAGTAGCCCTGAGAGACAAGCAGCATGATACCACTCAATCCCATGATTACTAGGGGCATGAACCCAAGTCAAAACCACTAGGCCTAATGCTGTGTTACATTAGTCATTTAGTATAACTAAAAGTTGTTGCAATAATTAACACAGGTAAAATGACACTTAAATTATAGCAGATATAACCATTTGCTTGAACTTGTATGAGCTCTTGGCATGCCAATGCATGGCTAGTGTGGGCTCATGCGTGAGAGAAACTGTATATATCAAATTTCCTGCCTCTGATTATGAAGGGATTCAAATGAAAAGCATACATATTCACATATATTTCCAAGAAACAGAAAATCTAAACGAATGAACTCAACAACAATCAAAACCGAAAAATCCATAACAACAGCACAACTTATCATTGAATACATAGAAAAATCTTCTTACACAATTTGGTTTCAAGGAGCTCTATTTGTAAGTTATGATTGTCGAATAATTTAGTGTTTTTCTTCTTACAATGAAACAGTTCAGCCTCTTAAGGAATACCGATTTCACAGATGAAAAACAACTTTAGAATTAAGGGCTATATAGTTAGCATTCCTAAAATCAAAATTAAATACATACCCTAGTGTAACAACTGTTGTTATTAGCAGGTTGGACTCCAGATTAGGTTCATGAACAGAAGATATAATGATTTCCCTTGTGTATTCAATAGTTTGACGGAAAGTATGCAAATAGCCTAGTATATCATCCTCATCAATAAGCTCTGAACTTGCAACGATGCATATCACCATGCCATTCAATTCCTGTGCACAAAAAAGAAAATAATCAGCATCAATGGATAGCCATATAAACACACAGCAAAACAAGGAGATTCATTTATATTAAGAAAAAGCTGAAAGTGATGAATTTATTCTAAAAGTTTCCAAAAGCAGTGGAAATGGGGTAAAGAACAGAAAACCTGCACAAGACAAGCATGCACATGCACAAATGGATGGGTACAGAATGGCTTTATAAACTGTGCATCTAATTCATGTTTATCATATCTTTATAGTAGCGGCACCAATGAACAAAACCAAACAAAAAAAATAGGTACACATTTAATCAATCCAAGTGGGAACTGTATAAGCAATGCACTTATATTCCCTTAGATCATACCTTTAAACCAGCACCAATGAAAGGGCAGTCATATATAGCTTGCAAAATTGAAGTTTTGATGTGGGAACCAGCTCCAAATCCAATTTTAGCTTCTTTGAAGTTTCCCAGAATCTGTACACTGTTACATTAGCCTTGAAAGGACAGATAAAAGAAATAGAAAGAAATGAAACATAATATTAGAACATGGGAATGAGAAAGTAAAAGTGTCCAAGGCTACATTCATGTATGCACCCAATTCTCTATTTTCATTTTTTGGTCCTTGAAAAATGCAAAATACTTGTTCCTTTATGCTTTTGCTTTTTATTCTTACGAGAGAAGGAAAACTTATCAATTTTTTTGTTAAAAACAAAAATGCCCTCTTTTGTTTATAGACATTTCCTCTCTCCTAAAAAAAGCTTACATGAAACTTAAACCTTGATTGATCTGTCACACATTATTTTTTCATTCTATTACATCTCTTTATGTAGATCATTAAGAAAAATTTTGACTACGTTTGTTGCCAAACGTTATTTCAAGTTATATTTTGATAATTTTTAAAATATTGTTTTCAGACAAACACATTGGATGTGTTTTCATCTTTTGTAAATCAATCATTTTCGATATTTTCAAAAAACACAATGAATTCATAAAAAGTTTCCTAGTGTCTACCATGCTTAAATGGAACATTTTGCAGGCACAAGGCAGCAGTAAACAAACAAAATTAATCATGAAATTCATGGCATGTGATAATCAAAAATAATTTGCGCTAATCATGAAAGTCAAGTAAGCATACTTTTAAAACTTCTGAAACTTTGAGTTCCCTCACATTATTATGTGGTACATCAATTAGCTTTCTCTGCAAATCCTGTAAATGTCTCAGATATTAATAAGTTAAGAGCGAGGATAAACATTGTTAAGCCAATTATATTAAAGAGATTGTATGCTTACAGATGTTAGAACAGAGACGGCATTTATAGCCAACAAAACAGCATCATTTGCAGTGTTTAAAGCCTCATCTAGGGTAACCAAGTCCTTTTCAAGTAGTCTGTCAGCTTCAATATCTGTATATGACAAAGAAAAACATTACGTCCCGTTTTAAACTTATCAAGTCCATTAGTGCAATAGCTGAAGAATAGGTATTGCACTTTTAATGTTGAAGTATAAACAGGAGAAAAATAAAAATAAAAATTGGAGACCGCAATGTAGCTGGGAGAGAGCTAATAACTTCATATAGACATTAGACAGTGTCTCATGCCGAAAGCAATTCTAAACTCAGGTTCCAAAAACTATTGGTAGTACCTGAAGCAACTCCTTTACTGTAACTATTAGAAATCGGTAGCATTGTGATTGTTCGGGTCTTTTTTACCAAATTGATTAGGCATTTATCCACTTATTAGACGGGGGTGCTACTCTAATTTCACCACTTAATTTGATTTTACAAAAAGTAAGAATGCACTTTTTGTTATAATGCCATTACGGTCTTTAGTTTTAACAAAGTAAAATAATCTCCACATTTGGTGTACATTCTCTTACAAGAGTTACGACTTTCGACATCTATGGTTTTGTGTGACACAATAACTGACTATGGGTAAGTTGTGAGGTGGTATAAACATCAAATTGATCGAAGCATTCTTCAAACATGACTAAGCCTATAGACTAACACCTACCAAAGTCATTTGTGCTATTTTTAAGAGTTGTAACAACCCCAACCACACAGTTTAAAGCATTGGTGGAGATGCTCAGTATACTGGATTGACAACTCATTTACTCATTGATTGTAATTTTGGACTTTGGGCTAAGCCCAAACTGTACAAAATCTAAAATAGATTATAGCTATTGTTATCTTCTTTCCATCCAGTTTGATGGATTGATGGGCTTGACACAAGCGCAGCTTATTTATGGGTCAACTCATTAACTTACTTAAGCCCAGCCATATTGGGTTCCAGTTGGCTTGCTCGCCGCCCTTTACCAGTACCATTTTCAAATGAGAGTAAAACTGTTCAAATAAATGACAGCTATAACACAATAAAACTGTTCAATTAAATGACAGATATAACACACACCTACCAATACAAATTTGTGATCTTGAAGTTTTGCTACCAACCTTTTACCTGCAAATCAAATACGAGTACGTTCTGAAAATTGAAATAATTTTCCAAGTAATCTGGAAGAATAAAAAAAAATATATGTACAGAAATGAAAAAATATGTCAATATGAATTCCAGAGATGGAGATTTGCAACAAAATGAATTGGAATACTATAATATGCCACCCAGTGTTGAAAAAAGCTGTTTCTCTCCCAGGAATAGAACCCTTATGAACAGTGATTCAGTACCTACTTTGCGAAACATATATTGGTGCTTTCTTGTCACAAGGTTCTCTAGATATGTGGTCATAAATTAGAACTAAGCATGGAGGAGTAATTAAAATGAAATTGAAAAATAAGAAAAACTATTCACACTTATTCACTTAAAAAAATACAATCTACATTCTCTAGTTAGGACTAACTGCTAGATATCTTGATAACCTTAAGTTAATTATCCTAATTTAAATTTAACAATACTAGAAGGCCTAGAACGCCTAAGTTTTCATCATTCTTATCTAGGCATTCAACCTCCCCCTCAAGCTGAGAAGAGATTCTAGCATCCCAGCTTGAGGTAAGCAAACTATCAAACTTTGTTTAGACAATCCTTTGTAAGGATATCAGCGGTATGCTGGCTTGTAGGTAGATAGATACACACAAAGCTTATTCTCTATCTTTTCTTTGATAATGATGTGCGATCATTCCACATGTTTGTTTCTATCATGATGAATGGATTGTGTGCAATTCAATTGCGCCTTGTTGTCACAATAGAGCTTCATAGTTCCTCCTTACGGACCCAACATCACTAATATCTTTTCAACAGACTCATTTCACAAATACCTTGTGCCATCCTAAACTCAGCCTCTGCTAATACTCCGCTACTAACAGTGTGCTTCTTGCTCCTCCAATCACCAAATTTCCCCCAAACAAATTACATATCCTGATTAGACCTTCTATCACTGTGACCTGCCCAGGTCTGCATCTCGTGAAGCTTCCACACTTCTTTGAGCATAGTCCTTCCAATAAAAGAAAGTTCCTGTTTCAGGAGTTTCTTCAGATATCTTAAAATTTCTATTACCAAAGCCTCAAGATGCTTCTCTGTGGATTGTGCATTTCTGCGTTACTACAACACTTAAGAAAAGCTATGTCAGCCTATATGAGATATATAGCCCAATCTCCCAACTAGTCTTTGATACCTCCCTTTATCAACTGGTGTAGTCTACATTTATCTCATTACAGTTCACCTTCTGTCAATGGAGGCTCCAGCAGGTTTTGCCAACCTAACATTCCATATCTCCTTCAATAAATCGAATATTTCCTCTGAGACACGAAAATTTCCTTCTTAATTCCTTGCATCTCCATTGGCCTGAAAAAAAAAATATCTTAGTGCCCCAAATCTTTATCTCAAACGTCGCAGTAGACTTTTTTTACCATATCCCTTTCTTCAGATTATCCCCGTAAGACTAATACAACAACAATATTACTATTAAGATAGTTAAATCTTACCTGCCTTAGTCTAGAAAACGTGTAGATCAGCTTGTCCTTGAATAAAACCAGTAACTCCTGTAGCTAGTAATTTCTAACCAGGCCACTAATGAGAGTGCTGTCAAAAAGCCATAACAAAGATTGTTTCAGCCTGCACACCTTTTGTCGCTCGATTTCCTTCAAAACCTGGTGGCACGTCAATATACAACTTCTTCTGGCAGATCACCATTCAAAGAAAGCATTCACTTACAATCCAATGTGGCAAAGGGCCCAATCTAATTTGTAGCCAAGAGATAGAACCATCTATATAGTGTTCATTGGCAACAGGAGCAAGTCTCCTCATAATCTATCCATAGGTTGTGTGAAACCCCTTAGCTACCCCCAATCTTGCCTTGTATCTCTCAAACTGTTCCATCTGCCTGTATTTCACTATAAAACCATTTGCAGCACAATCGATCTCTTTTTTCGGTAAGCCACAGCTCCCAAGTCCTATCTTTCCCAAGGCCTTCATCTACCTCCATTACAGTCCTTCTTTCCAGTTAGGATCATCCAAGGCTCATCTACTGATTTTGAACTTCTCATAGTTGAAAGATTAGTAACAATGCACGAAAAACATAGGAAAAGTTACCATAGTGACCAAACTGTAAGGCAATAGGATGTAAATACAAATCGACATCCTTTCTAGAGCTGAAGGAGTCAAACTCTTGATATAATTCTAGGAGACAAAACCTTTTCCAATGATGACTGTGAGTCAATGACTTCTTCTGCGGTTGGATAATTGCCTTGCAGATCTTAGTATGCTCATTACTTTGACTGATACAGCTTGCCGAGAATAACAATTTCAGTCCTGGGACGTGAGTCTTGGCTAATCTTGCTGTCTTTTTGTGTTTCTGATCTACCACCCTCATGATTTCTGTTCTGATAGAAAGGTGGACTTCTACCCTCAGATTGGCCGTAGTTAGAAGAGGTTGAGTTAGGGTAATTCAGTTAGTAGCCGTGTTGATGTGAAAGTGAGGATTAGAAGGTGCTTATAAGGAAGTGTTATTCCCCAAAAACAATCTTCATTTAAGTTCCCCCCTGCAAGGAAGATGGGAAAAATAAGGATGAGACTCAAAGAAGTCACATCCTTAGAATAACCTTTTTCCCCTAATGGGAACAAAAACACTTATAGCCTTTCTGTGTGGGGAGGTATCCCTACAATACACACATTTAATGGCCCTAGGCCTTCTAACTTGCCTCTATTGCGAGCTAGGATGGGCACATGCACATATGCAGTACACCAAAGTTTTCAAGGAAGAGAATTGAGGGCTATCTAAAGGTAGGTAAAAGTTGTCAAGGAAGACAGCAAAAGGATATTGAACTACTAACTCCTATAAGGCAGCTATTGATTAAATAGGTGCTTGTGAGGACTTGCCTCACCCCAAAACATATTTAGCATGTCATGGTGACACTCAAGGCCGGGAAACCTTATAGGTGCCTATTTTTCTTCGACAATACCCATTCGCGTTGGGGTATCTACGCATGACGCTCGGTGGATATCCCACTGGCTGATAGTAATTTCCTAGTATAATTGAAAATACTCTCTTACCACTGTCAGTCCTTAATATTGAATCTGTGTTTGGAATTGGTTTTAACCATGGAATGAAACTTCTGAAAAATCTGGACCTGCTTCCATTTTTCTTTCAAAATAAAATATCCCAACTTATTCAGTATGTCATCAATAAGTAATAAACCACTTAGATCCTCACCAGTTGTAAACCACTAGAGGGTCCCAAATATCACTATGTATTAAAGAAAAAGGTCTAGACTCTTGTAGGGATTGGCGGATACATTGAACCGTAGTCTTTGCAATTTGGCAGATTTTCACCATTAAATACATGATGATTTTTATTTCTGAATAAAATGGAAACAACCTTTTCAAATCAGGAAACCTAGATGGCCTAATACTTCTATGCCACTAACATTATTCTAAATTACCCCAAAACTGAGGCAGAATTACACTAGATGCATAGCTGGTGGATTATTCTTCATTTCAAGCCTTCTCATCAAGTAGGTAGAGCCCTCCTTCCTTCTTAGCATTGCCATCATCTCCCCATAGAGTAAGTCTGACAATTCACAGTGGGAAAGAAGAGAATTTAGCACCATTTTAAGTCTTTGGTTAGTTTGTAAATGGATAATAGATACAAAGACAAGGCTAGGAACTGAAGGACAGAATCTCAACAGAGATTTCTAAGATTGGACTGATCCTTTACCAAGCGATTTACAAGGAACCGTCAGCTGTTTTTGACCTTAAGATTACCAAACAGGACTGTAAGACACAAACACACTTGAGTTACCTGCATGTGATTGAGGGCTCCTGAATCTATAACCCCAGGTTTGTGTTGTTCCCAAACTAGTAGCAGAGCTGTGAGGGAATTACCAGTCCTACAAATGAACTTGAATACTGAATAGAACCAAATGAACCAACTGGACGGATAACAACTCATGGTAGGGGTTTTTGGGGGGGGGGTCTAATGCTCGTTTGAGAATGTCAGGCTATGGATGATCCTCACTTTCAGCGATGTATTTTCCTCCAATCAGCAGGAATCCCTGCCATTAGGTTTATTTGTCTTCCATTGATGTACTGCCATTAGTTTCCAGCAGGCTAGCATTGTATGGCTTTGGCCCGTGACAATATTCACCGATTGCCTCCACAGCGAAAAAAGAAAGAATATCGTCGCAGCAGTTTTTGATCTACAATTAGGAGCTGGGCTATGTGTCTCCCACCAGTGGGAAAACAAAGCAAGCTCAGGACTATCTGAGTTGGGCTGTGTACACCAAACTCGCTAGTGTCCTGCTAAATCAACCCATCATCACTTGCCTTCTGCTTTCGTATCTCTTGCTCATTACTTTCTGCACACACTTCACGGAATAGAAGGTAACGGATTCTTTTCCCCAAACACAGCGTAACGTCTCAACTTCATCTAGTTCTTTCAGCCCTGACAGGGAACCAAACAAACTCTCCTTTTCCAACAGCTTACTTGTACCTTTACATGTCTTGAGAGCAACTCAATTTGCCACATAGATAAATCAACTCTGTGCACAACTTAGCCAATACACTTAATATTGGTTTACGACATTTACATTGATTGGTCTCCTCACCTTGATTTGAATCTTCAAATATCTGTGCTGAATCCCGCATGTTCTGAATAGGTTCTTTTGCTATTTCCCAACATTAATCTTTTGCAGTGGGAAGAACAAAATAGGCCGGCCTATCTCCTCCCTCATGGTAATTGATCAACAGGCCATACTGTACTGTTCTCAGCATCCCACTTCTCATATGTGGATCATCTTCCTTCGGAGCTTTGACTGCTCCAGTTCAGGAGTAACCCAATTTTCCTCTAACCTCGAACCATCAAACTCATGTTTTGAGACCATGGGATGATAATTATGTTCCGTTCCAATTGTGAACACTATTGAACGGAATTATTATACACTTTAACGAGGTTGGACTCCTCTTTGCGAGAGTGTCAGAGATTGCGAAGGATCTGTAATGAGAATAGAATGATGAGAGGTAGCAGTATGACTGACGAGTATGTACGCAACCCTTCGTGACATTGGTGAGACCTGCAATGAGGTCCCCCTGTACTAGCTCACCAGCCTGCTGTTTTAACACCCATTCACTATGGCAAGAGCGACCTGGGCTACTTGATACATTTAAATCAGCGGGTCTGGGGCAGGATTTAGAAGCAGGAGAGCACCAAAAGGCCTAACCTCTTAGGTGGAGGGACTCCTCCCATTTCATAACCCAAGACCTCCCCAATTGTATGTGGGATGTGGTACATTCCTCCCATCCAATCACTAGTGACGCCCTCTCACGGGGGGTCCCTGTCTACCCATCCATTCTCACTCTCGTGTAGGGACCACAATACACAGGGTACGCCCATCGGTGGGCCTTGACAGACTCGAACTACAATTGGTGTCTGCTCTGATACCATAACAAATAAGGAAAAATTATTCCACACCTACTTCACTAAAAAAATACTATCATACACTTAGTTATAGGACCTCCTGTATCTGATACCGTGATTAGGATACCTAACTTTTATATTGGTCTTTTTTAAAACCTAGATATGGTCATAAACTCTAAAGCATGGAAGTATTAAGGAATGATAAATAAGCTCATCCACGTGACATAAGAACAAGCACATTATGCACAAAAACACTGACATTAACTTGTTCCACAACATTTTTCTTATCAATAACAAGAATATGAAGATTAAAACAGCTTATAAATACTTCTCTACTTGATTTTTTATCATACTGAAACACTGGAGAGTTTAAAAATGAACTTTTAAATGTGTCTTTAGTGAGCCAAATAGTTCATGAAGTAACCAGGTGCTCCATAGGAGCTTACTGCCAATACAATAGCAATCAGCATCCCGTATAACATACAGATTTATATACTTTATCAGACTTACATGACTTTTGACAATTTCATGCATCAGGAATGCTGCAGACACAATTGTGGCCATACCACGCAAAGAATCAGAACTCAGCAGGCATGAACCAACAAGGAGAGATAAAATGAGAGTTTTTAATCTTCTGGTACGAAGCCATCTTCTTGAAATCAAATTTTAGAGCTTTTTCGACTTTAAGCAAAATATCTACCCAGGTCCTAATAACCTCTCTAAGTCAGAAATTATCCTAAATAATTTCCATCAATCAAACTTGCAAAACTATTTATCAACATAGGCATTGCAACATAATCATATCACATCTCAACTAGTATGTATATTTCTTGGCATGCAAACTACTGAAAATTCCTCATGTATGAAGCAACCCAAAAACACTCTCAATTGCTAGTACTATCCTATCTCAAATCTCAAAATTAAAAAAAAAAAAAAAAAAAAAAAATGACAACAAGATAATTGTCATTTTGTTTATTGTTTGACAAGTATTTGCTAATTCAGGGAAGCATGCAATGCAATTGTTCCCTAGCACACAGTACCTCGTCAATGCGCCTTTGTCCTTCAAAGCTGAAAGGCTTTAGAACAATAGCAATGGCAAATCCATTTATAGATTTAATAGTTTTGAGAATTTCAACAACTGCAATGTGATCTAGGCCATATCCTGCACTAGCGACCTACAAAAGAGAAAAGAACAGGTTTTTGTTAATCCATGTTGACAACAAATTGCAGAAATAGAAAAATTTTAGGAAAGACGTGTAAATTGCAACAAAAAATTTGAAAACTAAAATTTTCACTAAAAATATTCTCCTTATCATTGTAAATACATTTTACAACATACAGTGCCCCCAATTATGTTTCTTTGCTACCACCAATTATTTCTTCAAGGATAACAGACACTAGGAGACCAAAAACAGGTGGAAAGACAGTTCCAAGCATAATAAAAGAATTAACACATGATAAAGGCAAAGTAGAACATGGAAACCATATTTCACAAAATAAAATTTTCTGATAAGACAAGTTGGAGGAGGCAAACTACATATTTTTCAGTGTCGAGATGATTCTTCGTAGAGTTGAACTTATATTTAGCCGACACACCTATGTGCTTATCAGTAGTCTCCTACAATCTATAATATTGTAGTTTACACCCTCATGTAAACAGATAAGAGCAAAGAAGAGCATAAAATTGATCCTCTAGAAGAAAAAATAAATTTGTAAAACCAATTGAGATGAATAAAGAAGAAAGAAGACTCCTAAAACCCCTTTTTGGAAGAGTTTGATAAAATCTGCCTAGATAACCAATGGTGCTTAAGAAATTATTTAAACTGTATTATTTATTCATTCCTATAAATTAGGCTATCAAATCCCCAGAAATTAGGTTTCCTAGTCTAATCCTGGTTCTACGTATTCTACTCAAATCCATTAATATATGAAAAAAAGAGAGAATCTCCCTCAAATAACATCCCTGGCAACCAAGCCCAAAGCAACGCAAGAAGCAGCATCTATCAATTAGCACCACCGTTTTCTTCTCTTTCCTCAACAAAAATCCTGTTGGAAATTCAAATTTAATTGAAATCCCAGGATTCTTGTATTTAGCAATAATTATAGGGATAGCAGTAATCATAAGGAGTAATTATAATCATTAGCTGTAAATTAGTAGTTAATTGTTTCATGATTTATGGGGATTAACTTCCTAGAATAACAATTCATTACTGTATAAATTCTTTGTATTTAGTCATGTTTAATAAGAATTAAGAATTTCATAATTCTCTTCATGTATCAGAGCTTTAGGCTCTTTTCTGGGATTAGAAATCTCATCCTACAGGCCTTCATCGCCAAGATCCTTTGTGCCCTGCTTGCATCCTGTATTTTTCTTATTCTTTTTCTGTTTAGCCTTCATTGCTAAAGTATGTCTTCCACAACCAAGAAAACCACAACCTCCCAGTCAAAAGTAGTGACTCTTAATCAAACAACAGAGAGCTACCTACTATTCAATCTACTTACAGATTGAATGGAAAAAATCATAGGAAGTGGTCTCAAGTGGTGCGGACCTTTCTGAAAGGGAAGGGAAAATTGAGTCATCTCCTTGGTATTGGACCCAAGAAGGGAGATCCTAAATTTGATGCTTGGGATGAAGCGGACTCCGCAGTCATGTCTTGGCTATGGAATTCCATGCTGCCAGAAATCAGTGATACGTTTATGTTTATGCCAACGTCTAAAGAAATATGGGAAGCGGCAAAGAAACTTATTCTAAGGTAAGAGATTGTGCTCAAATCTATGAGATTAAAACCAAAATTTCTGGCATCAAACAGGGAGATCGCTCAGTCATGGAGTATGCCAATCTCTTGAAGAATCTATGGCACGAGATGGATCATTATCGATGCATTGAGATGAGGTGCAGCAACGATGCAACTGCGTCAAAGAATTTCATTGAAGATGATCAAATTCATGATTTCCTCGCTGGTTTAAATGTTGAGTTTGATCAGGTGAGAGTTCAGGTATTAGGAAAAGAAGATTTACCTTCATTGAATGAGACCATCTCTATCTTCAATGCTGAAGAAAGTCGAAGGGGAGTTATGCTTTACTCTCAACCAGTTGAAGGATTAGCAATGTTGGGAAAATCCAATGATTAGAACCTGAAGTTTAATATTGAAAAGACATCTACCTTCAATACTGCAAATTCAGAAATTGGCAGAATAAAGTCTCGATCCTCAAACAAGGATAACCTCCGATGTAACTACTGCAAAAAGCCTCGCCATACCAAAGAGCAATGTTGGAAACTTCATGGAAAACCACAAAGTTCTCAGTGGAATAAAGGTCCTAGAGGAGGAACACAGCCAAGCTAGGCGAATATGACTCAATCTAGAGAGGACAGGTCACATGATTCCAGTGCTGAAGAGCAGCATGAATTTAACAAAGAAGACATTGGAAGGCTGAGGTCACTCCTTAATTCATTAGAAAAGTCTACAGGTACTTGCTCCCTAGCAAATTCAGGTAAACTTTATTCCTTATATGCTTTAAGTGCCTCTAGTTCAGATTTTTCAAATTCTTGGGTTATTGACTTCAGGGCCACCGACCATATGACCCATTCTTCTCACAAATTTCTCACATACCATCCCTGTCCTAGCAACCGAAAAGTATCTATCGCTGACGGATCTCTGGCCACTGTTGCTGGCTAGGGAGACATTATTCTAAGTTCATCCATAACTCTTAAAAATGTATTATATGTACCTAAGTTGTCTACAAATCTTGTGTCTATTCATCAACTTATAACAAATTTAAACTGCAGTGTGGTGTTTTCTCTTATTTCTTGTATATTTCAGGACCAAGTTACGAAGAGAATGATTGGACATGCTAAGGTGAGACAAGGTCTTCATTATCTTGAGTTACCCAACAGCCAAGTGAACAATGGGAATAGACCACCTTTCTCTTTCTTGTCCAGCAACCCTCATTCCAACAATGACCAAATCTGGCTTCATCATCTTAGACTTGGACACCCTTCCTTTAGTATTCTTCGTGTTATGTTTCCATCCTTGTTTAAGAATGTTAATGTAAACGAGTTTTACTGTGATGTTTATGAATTTGCTAAACATCAACGTGTCTCCTTTCCTTCGAGTAATAAAAGAACTATGGTTCCTTTTTCATATTATTCATCTAACAATCAACACATCTTGATAATTCCTATCAATTTTGGAAGAAATTCATGAAGAGTTAATTTGGGCCAATAACCTTTTCCTTAATCCACAGTGATATTTGGGGTACCATCTCGGGTTCCCACATCATCTCTCCTATTTTTCATAAAATGGTAAAAATTCAATTCAATGTTGGAATTAAGAGGTTGAGAACAGAAAATGCTAGAGACTATTTCAATCAAACTTTATCTCCATATCTTCAAAAAGAGGGAATTATTCATGAATCTTCATGTGTGGACACACCCCAACAAAATGGGGTTGTCGAAAGAAAAAATGGTCATCTTTTAGCCTCTGTTCGTGCTCTTTTGTTTCAAAAGAATGTTCCAAAAACTTTTTGGGGAGAAGCTGCCCTCACTGTAGCTCATCTAATAAATCGTATCCCCTCTCGAGTACTTGACTTTAATACTCCAATGGAAGTGTTGTCTCAGTATTTTCTAGATTTCAATATGTCAACTAAGTTAGCCCCTAAAGTTTTCAGATGTGTCTGTTTTGTTCATGTTCACTCTCATGGTCGGAACAAGCTTGATCCTAGAGCTATCAAGTGTGTCTTTATAGGATATTCCCTACTCAAAAAAGGTACAAATGCTTCAATCTTACCACTAGAAAAACTTATGTGTCTGCTGATGTCACATTTGTTAAACCAAAAAGTTATTTTTCTAATCCTTATTTTTAGGGGGGGAGACATCATCTATGGAAGATAAGGATTTGTTTTTGAGAGAACCATCCATGTTAGTCAAAACATCTCCCATGCAAATTGAACCCAATCCTAAAACTGAAACTGAACACATATCTGCACCCATTTCTGAAGCCAAGCCTATTGAGTCATTTATTGAATGATCTCCTAATCCTTCTAAAGAGCCATCAAACCCTACACTCACACAGCCAGTACAGGTTTACTCAAGAAGAATAAAGCCCGTGATCAATCTTGTGCAAGTTCAAGAAACCGTATCATCACTTGGGAATGAGGTAAGTCCTTCTACTAGAGTATCACCTACTGTTCTTGATTTCGATCTGTCCATAGCCACAAGAAAAGGTGTTAGAAAGTGTACAAAACACCCTTTATGTCCTTTAAACAATTATCTGCCCCACATAAAAGCTTCCTTACTCATCTAAACACTCTAGCCACCCCACAAACCTTATCTGAGGCACTTGGTAAAGAGGAATGGAAGCATGCAATAAGAGTAGAAATGGAGGCCTTGGAGAAGAACAAAGCATGGGAACTAGTGGAATTACCAACTGGTAAGAGACCGGTAAAATGCAAATGGGTCTTCACATTGAAATATAAGTCAGATGGATCCATTGAGAGGTATAAAGCGAGACTAGTAGCCAAGGGGTATGCACAAACCTATGGAGTGGATTATCAGGAGACATTTGCACTAGTGGCGAAGATGAATACAATAAGGGTGTTGTTATCTCTTGCAGCAAATTATGATTGGACTTTACAGCAGTTCAATGTGAAAAATGTCTTTTTACATGGAGATCTTGAGGAGGAAATTTATATGGAAGTTCCGCCTGTCTTTGGCATAAATTTAGGCAAAAACAGAGTGTGTGGATTGAAAAAGGCATTGTATGGGCTCAAACAATCTCCTCAAGCATGGTTCGGAAGATTCACTAAAGCAATGTTAACTATGAAGTACAAACAGAGTCAACGTGATCATACATTTTTTATCAAGCGTTCTACTTCAGGGGGAGTCACTGCGTTGATAGTTTATGTGGATGATATTATAGTGACTGGAAATGATTTAAATGAAAAGGAAGCTCTTTAGAAATATTTGGCAAAAGGATTTGAAATCAAGGACCTTGGGAAGTTAAAGTACTTCTTAGGAATAGAAGTAGCTCGGTCCAAGGAAGGAATCTTTATTTCACAACAGAAATATGTTTTTGATTTGCTAGAAGAAACAGGTAAACTCGATTGTAGACCATCAGACACACCTATTGAGACAAATCATAGACTAGGAGAGTCTATGGAAGGAAAACCAGCTGACAAAGGCATATACCAACGACTTGTTGGGAGGTTAATCTACCTGTCACACACACGGCCTGACATTGCATCTGCGGTGAGTGTGGTAAGTCAGTTCATGCAAAACCCTATGGATGTCCATCTCCATGCAGTATACCGAATATTGTAATATTTGAAAAGCAGTCCAAGAAAAGGGATTCTCTTTAGAAAAAGCACACATATGGAACTAGAAGCCTACATGGATGCTGATTATGCTAGCTCTGTTACTGACAGAAGATCAACATTTGGGTTTTGTACCTTTCTTGGTGGAAATTTGGTAACCTGGAGGAGTTAGAAACAACCGGTGGTAGCAAGATCTAGTGCAAAGGCAGAGTTTCATTCGAAGGCACAAGGTATTTGTGAGTTGTTATGGCTCCAGATTATCCTAGAGGACTTGAAGATTAAATGGAAGAACCCAATAAAGCTTTATTGTGACAATAAGTCTACAATAAACATAGCTCATAACCCAGTTCAGCATGACAAAACTAAACATGTGGAAGTTGACAAACATTTCACAAAGGAAAAGCTTGAGAGCGGATTAATTTGCACTCCCTACATCTCTACAGAGCGTCAATTAGCAAACGTTTTAACTAAAGGATTGACAAGTTCCGCATTTCAAAGGATTATAAGCAAGCTAGGGATGAAAAATATCTACTCCCCAACTTGAGGGGGAGTGTTGGAAATTCAGATTTAATTGAAATCCCAGGATTCTTGTATTTAGCAATAATTATAGGGATAGCAGTAATCATAGGGAGTAATTATAATCAATTAGCTGTAAATTAGTAATTAATTGTTTCATGATTTATGGGGATTAACTTCCTAGAATAACAATTCATTACTATATAAATTCTTTGTATTTAGTCATGTTTAATAAGAATTAAGAATTCCATAATTCTCTTCAAATCCTATTATTACTTTCAAGCCAAGTCAACCAAAGAAGAGTTGAACAATACATCCCTAACGAGCTTTGTCTTTCTTTCCTCTCCCAAACTCAACAGCAATCTCTCACCCTTAAATTTGGGTCATTGAACTATGAAGGAATAGATTATTAGAGGTCTCAACACTTCTACAAATCACACACCACACGAAGAAGACAGTTCCTAAACAAAAAGATTTCCACGGATTACTTCAACAGTATTAATTTTGCCTCGAACCATAGGCACACAAAAACTTGAGCTTTAAGAGGACTTTTAGCCTTCTAAATCATATTAAGAGGTCCGAAATCATCAATGGGAGGATCATTAACAGCCAACTAAAACATAAATTTACAATATTAGTAATCCAAGGCCTCCAACTTCCAAAATCTTCCATTTTTCTTTGTTTCAGCATTTACACATTTTCTCCATAAGCATTATATATTATTGAAATTCACTATTATTCAATTCCTTTTGAAACTGAAATTCCAATTCCAACATTGGGAACAGGAGAGAATACCATACTAATATAATTAGAAGCATTTATAAAGATAAGGGAAGGACTCACACATGCAAATGTCTCCTACTCGTCATCCCAAAATTGGATATCCTTTCCATCCTCTATGGTTAAGCAAGTGAGAATGATAAAAGAAGTTTATTCCTCACAAATATCTTTCGAAGGCATTATAAAATTTTGTTACTAACCACCTTAGTGTCCCACCCATTTAAATCAAGGCCAATTACCACTAAAACCTCATGCCATAGAGAATTATTTTTCAATACATAATATCAAAAGCCATAAAGCCAACCAAAAAAAAGAAAAAGAAAAGAAAAGAAAAGAAAAGAAAGAAAGAAAGAAAGAAAATCCTTTCTTTCTTCATATTCCCAATACCAAGTCCCCCTTTGCCCTGAAAGGCCAAGAACAATGTCCCACCAAAGAAGATGAGAACCTCTTCCCGCATCATAACCTTCCCACAAGAAGTCCTTATAATTTTTTTTCTGTTCTCTTTGCAAACCCGATAGGAATCTTAAACAAAAAGACGAGATAAATTGAAAGAGTTGACAAAAAGAGTGGTATTAGGATGAGTTCAACCCCTTTAGAAAGAAATCCTCCCCTCCCCCTCTCCCTAACCGAAACAAAAAAATAAAAAACTTATTTTCAACATCATCGAATCCAAAAAGGTATAAGATCTAGGATTATTTCCCAAAAAAAGACATAAATATTTAGCACAAACTGCCCACTAACAAACCAACTAAACTAGCAGAAGTGTTAACATTCATTTTCAAGGAGTTAACCCCACAATTATGCTTAAACATATTAACTTTAAAGCTAGAAAAAAGACTAGAAGTTTCTAGAACTTTTAGAAGGTCTCCAATGTTTTGTTCATGATCATATGAGACAAGAGAAGAGTAAAATCAGCAAATTGTAAATGAGAAACTTCAATCCTCTCTCTACGTACCATGATATCCATCACAAGCTTAGTCCCCAAAGCATTATTCATCACTCTACTCAATCTGTCCACAACTGAACTGAAAACAAACGGGGTAGAGGATCTACTCATTGTCTCTTTAGAAGCTCCAAAATGTACAATTGGCCAACCATTAACTGAAATTGAGATGTTCAAGGAGTGAAGAGAGTCCAAGAAATTCTATTCCACATAACTGTAGGCTCTTTAATAAAATCATTTTTTGTTCTTCCTTTTTTTATTCCAACACTCCTCTACAATTTTATTTGCTATCAACACTGAATAAAAATCAGTCTATCTTACATAAAGACCGACTGGGCTGCAGAAATGATGGTTTTTATCGAACAACTTTCAAGCAACAGGGTAATAATTTTTGCTATAAATTTATAGAGGCTAGTAACAAGGCTGATAGGTCTAAAGTCACCAACACTGACTGCTTATTGGCAAATGTAATTGGCATTGGTAATAATATTGGTACTCCATTTTCATATTATTCATCTAACAATCAACACATCTTGATAATTCCTATCAATTTTAGAAGAAATTCATGAAGAGTTAATTTGGGCCAATAACCTTTTATGGACAGCATTTAAAATGACCTTCTTAATTTCCTCAACCTCAAGTCTCCTTTTCAAACAGCTTGCATACTCTTATTAATGGAGGCCCAATAGAACCTGTGCACTAGAGGTATAGGGATATTTCCATTAGAATACAAATTGGAGAAGCAATTTGCAAATTCTTCATCTACTTTTCTGTAATCAACAGTCAACTTTATTTGGTTTACAATTTCCAAATCAGATTTCCAATATTTCTGTCCTTAACAATTTTATGAAATATCTTAGTATTATCAACACCTTCCATAGTCCAAGAAGCTTTAGCTTTCTACCTCCATATGATTTCTTCTTTGACCACTAACTCGTTTTTGCCGAAGTTCTTCCTGCATAAGTTGTTATTCGACAAGAATACATCTTGATGTAAAAGTCCATACAATAAGAATGTAACACATATTCAAGAAGTATCTAAGCTTTTAAAAAAAAAAATCCATCTATATCATTAACTACTGCATTTGATAAGTACCAATGGTCAACAAAAATTCCACCATCTTGTTCCCAGTAGACTTAACTAAGACTTTTGCACACACAAATAAGTGAATGTATGGTAGAAAGGTTGTCTAGCAACCTAAGCAACCTACTGAAAATCTATGAAAAGGGCCCCTAAATCAACTTCTCCTAAATGATATCTTGTATGTTTTTGATTTCTTACCCTTCTAGGGGCTCGCAAACAAACCAAAAGGTTACGTAAATTATGATAATTAAACAATTAATCTATACAAAATATCACCCATAATGAGTGTTAAAACACCATTTTAATGAATATGTATAGCATTGTTTGTAATAATTAAAAATCACTTTATACTGAAAAATGGCACAAGCAATACAAGAGGGGATAGTTAAGGGATGTACAAACAAGGATAATAGCCTTTGAACGTGACTGTAAGAATAGTGAAGCTTCCACAATCTTTGGTGTTAAGTCTGCAAAATGCAAAGAGCAACAGGAATGATGTTAATTCCATATATCTATGTACTATAACAATAGAAGCCTCACTTTGTAAATATTAAGATAGTTGTTTTCTAAGTCATCAAGTTAGAACATCTAAAATAATTATCAAGCTTTTCATCTTTGTAAATACTTGTTTGTAAGAGGGGCTATACTACTATTTCAATTGCTTTTGATGTTTGTCTCTCGTCCTTGTCACTATAACATAAAATCTTAATAAAATCAAAACAAAATCAAAGCAATAAAACTTGACCCATGATTCATAATCGAATGAAAGAAGATGAAAAATTTTACAAAGCTAGGTACTTATGAAGAAAAAAACATAGGCATGAGACATGTCAACAACACAACACAACAAATTTGAAAAATAGGCCACAAATATTGAAAGTACACAGTAATGAAAATATACAATTCATACGTTTATTTTTAACAAATTTTAAAACCTTCTTACATTTGAATAACAAAAATGTATGAACCAAAAAACTCTTATAACATTGAAACAACCATTTTAAAATTAAAATTAGTACATCCACTTTAATAATCTTTATTTATTATTTTTTTTTTTTCCCTCATCACAAGGAAAGCAAAAAATAATTACACTATGTCAAAATCTGTCTAAAGTATCTACATGCTTTCTATTCTAGGCATGTCCACGATGGACAGGCATGTACAAGTTCAGATTTTAAATTTATGTTTAGATCTACAGGCATATGTTCCACACAAGGTGTTTCCATGCTTGATAAGTGCAATACATTAGGACATTCATCACTTAGACCTGTCCAAGCTTCACAATTGTGCACTCAAGGATCAAGAAAACTTCAACTAGTTGTATAAACTTCAAGAAAACTTTTGATAATAGAAAAAAAATAACCCCAAGCTGACAGTGCACATGTATAATATACCTACTTTGAATAATTTATATTCTGTGACCTAATGCCTGAAGAAATAAGTATCACATAAACTTTTCATGTCTGAAATGGAGGAAAACCATATGGTATATTAAACACTGCCAAACAAAAGCCAAGAATTTCAAGAAAGTAACATAATTAAGATGAGAAGATAATGATAAAGGAAATGTTGATAAAATATACAAAAAAAGAAGTGTTTTCATCAAGTACAGAAGCAAAGCCATGCAATTGAAACAGAAGGATGAGAAAGAGAAATTCTTATCTTCTTTCCAACCTTGATCTAACTAATATTTGCAACAAAATCATGATCTTTAATTGGCCAATTCCAAAACTATATGCATTTGATTTGTCTACAGGTCTTGACTTGAAGTTCTGTCCTATGTCATTGATCAAATTGTATTTAGCTGCCTTTAAAAGAAGCTGACTTCTTTTTGTAATTCCACTAGTTTCCCATCTCATCTCCATAAATAGCTTTATTCCAACCAGAAATGGCCATGATACAACCTCCAAAATCCATGTTATGCATAAGCCTCAACATAATCAATGGCTCTTGAATTCTTTCTCCGTGAGTGCTAATATTATCAATCAGGGGCCTCGTAGAGATACGTCTCGCTGATCACTATTGACTTCTAAATTACAAATCCATTACATAGTTTTTACAATGCACGGTTTTGTTACTGTTATAACAATAAAAAATATTGTTAAAAAAAATCTAGATTGGACAAGGTTTAATTTTGATGTTCACACACTTAAACTAGATTAATATAATCCATGTTTCAAGGCCACTAATAAATTATTGGAACACCTATGATCTTCACTAATCCGATCACCACTATGGTCCCCATATCACTAAGCATTTAAATGAAAATTAGCACATGAAGTGAGAAATAAACATAGAAAAGTTTTACGATAATAAACTATTTCAAAGGAAAATATACTACAATAAAAGTATAATGATCAAGGTATAGCAGAAAATATGAACTAGAGTCACAAAGACAAAACCAAACCTTGTCCAAGAAACCTTTGTCGTAATCGCACATCTGATATATCATTCATTAAAATATTCCTGCAAAAAAGAAGTTGACCAATAGCCAAGTAAATGACATCCAAAATTTCTCAAAGAAATGCAGGTCTTAGCATCGTTATGCAAAATTATGCAAGAATGATTTTTGAACTACAAATTTTAAACCATTTTAAGATAGTTCACACCGATTTCTCAGAAGTTGTGAAACCTAAATCACTATGCAAAATTTCCAAGAATGGTTTTGAACTACAAATTGCACACAAAGCAACATTATAAAAAAAAAATTGCAAATTCAACAAATTTATTAAATGGTGGATTAAAGCGCATACCAGAAGCGAAGGGAGGAGGAGCGGAGAGGAGATTCTAAACAAAAGTCGAGAAGCGCGTCCTTTCTACTGCCAATGCCAATCACTTCTACAAATTCAGACTCAGAAACATTTTCACGTTCATTTACAGGATAGTTTTTGTTTGTACTCATACTCACTCGAAGACCAGCCCTACTCCACTTACATTTCAATTTTTTTTTGCCACAACAAAACAAGGAATTGTACAATACTCGTTTTGACGAACAAGGCAACAAAGACGACGAACCAAAACTCCTCAAAACCGGAAGTCCTACAGAAATGGGCATCCTATTGCACGAAAACATTGCATTCAAATGCCAATTACACAAAACCCTAGCGGTTTTCGATTTTTTGGGGTTATATTTAAATAATTAACAAACAAAAAGCCATCTGAACCGAGAAAGGGAAAAGAACACTAAACTAGCTGATAGTTGTGCTGTGAGTGTGTGGTATTTGTTGTGGTCTAAATGAGAAATAGCTCCAAATCTCCGACGGCTCATCATGAGCTTCATATGAGGGCATATTATTTTGGGCCTAAATAAAACCTCACTAGGCCCTTCCATATTGTCCTGAGTTTGTAATTGAGTTTTTAGGGCCCATTAAATCTCTTTCGGTAACCCCATTTTTTAAAATTTATCAAAAGAATTCATTTACAAATATAACATGATTTATTCAAAACTTATCCATTTCAAAAACTTTTTTGTAAACCTCGTCATTTGTGCACTTGTGTTTATTCTTCATAACTCCATGACTATTAGACACTTTAAGGCTCCGTTTGGTTTACAATTTTGTAATTTTGGAAAAAGCTTTTTAAAAAAAGTTAAATTGGGTGGGTATTACGATGTAAGATTTATAAATTATTAAAATACCCCCTATGTTTATTTTTTTACAAAACACCCCCTATAATAAAATATTAAAAGTTAACAAAAACACCTCCAACCCACCCTCAAATACGAACAGCCGGCCACCACCATCGGAGGGTGGCCGGAGTCGCCATATTGGCGCATGATCAACTGGATCTTTCTGGTCGTGCGCCGATATGGCCTTTTCCGACCAGATCCACGGTGAATCTGGCCGGCAAAGGCCAAATCTACGGCTAGATCTGGCCAATGATAGCCAGATCTGGCCGTATTTGCTCGTCAACGACGGCCAACAAACGATCGTCGTTGATGGTCAACAACGACCGTTTGTTGGTCGTCGTTACCGACTGGTTACGGCCAAAGATCTAGCCATCAACGGCCAGATCTTTGGCCTTAGATCTAGCCTTTTCTGACTAGATCCATTGTGGATCTAGCCGAAAAATGCTAGATCGATGCACTACCGACCAGATTAAGCTGGTAGTGCCGCATCCTACCAGATTTCGGCCATTTTCCGGCAGTGGTGGCCGGAATCTTTTAAATGTGGATTGTTGGGGTGTTTTTGCAATTTTTAAAAAGATATTTAGGGGTATTTAATTAAATTAACAAATTTAGGGGGTTTAAAAAAAGTTGAATAAAATTGAATAATATTGTGAGTTTTTGGGTATTTTACTATTTAACTTTTTTAGGAATACTAAAAGTAGTATTCCTAAAAACCAACCAAACGAATCCTAAAAAGTGAGAATTAAGAGGTGGTCTATTTCCCATTTTATTATTGAGAAAAGGTCTCATGGTGAAGACATTCAAGCAGGAATTGTTGAAGCTATATATAAAAGGATTATAGGAGAAGCCTTTTACTAAATTGCCCTTATTTTTTAATATTATTATTATTATTATTTAGATTATTCCTTTAACCCCCTAAATTTGAGAATTTAGCTAAAACACCCCAGCTACAATAAACGTTTAAAATTTAACAAAATACCCTCAACCACCCAAAACCATTGCTGACCACCACCAACAACCATGGTCTACAATCATCGAAACGGTGCATGATCGGTTGAATTTGGCTGGCCGTGCGTTGATTAAGCCATTTATCTGGTCGGAAACGACCAAATCAACACACAGTCGGCCAGATCCGGTCGATCATGTGCCATTCTTGTGACTGCCAGCAGTGGTGGATGGCGTTCGGTAGTGGTCTTGGGTGGCTGGGGTGTTTTGGCTAAATTCATGTAAATTGTTTTCAGAGCAAAGGCATTACTGTCCAAAAATTTTATTACTTAAGGGTCGTTTAGATCAAGGGTAGATAAGATAACGGGGGTAATATTCGTTTATTTTGCAAGATTCCTGTGTTTGGTTTGCAAGTAATAAAATATTATGGTAATCTTTTATTGTAAATAGTGTTTACTGCTCGTAATGTGGAGGGTAATCTTATTACCTTGTTAAGGGGTGTTATTAAAACATTACCAAGGTAATACGATTTTTCTTCCCATTTTGGCCTTAATTAAAAACCATTTCAAACACAATTGCCCTCAAATGTCTACCAAATAACAATTACCCAACCCCCTTACATTTGAGAAATTAGCTAAAACACCCCAGCCACAAAAAAGTTTAAAAGTTAATAAAATACCTCCAACCACCCAAGACCACCGCTAGTCACCGGCGTCAGTCGTCGTAATGGTGCACGACCGGTAGAATTTAGCTGATCGTGTGCTGATAAGGCCTTTTTTGGCCATGGATCACAGATCCATGGCCGGAAGCAACCAAATCTGGTGTTTCTATGGCCGTTTCACAACCAAAGATATGGCCATAAAACGGCCTTAGATTTGGCCGTGAAAAGGCCAGATCTTTGGCCACGAAATGGTACGGCCAGATCTGTGGTCATTTCACAACCACATCTTTGGTCGTGAAATGGCCATAGATTTGGCTGTTTTCCGGCCATGGATTTGTGATCCATGACCATTTTCAGCTTTACCAACGCACGACCAGCGATATATGGCCAGTCATGCGCCATTTCGTCAACTATCGACAGCGGCTGGCAATAGTGGCTGGCTGCCGGCAATGGCTTGGGGTGGGTGTGGGTGATTTTGCTACAAATTAAAGTTTTATATGGCTAAGGTATTTTAGCAAAATTTCAAATGTAGGGGGTTAAAAGAAATTATTCAAAAAATAATAATAAAAAATACTATTATATTAATATTTAAAAAGGAGGGCGATTTAGTAATCTATATAATACACCGACCAATTTATCCTCCCAACCAAGCATATTATTCACCAATTTATTTGAACCAACTAAACACATTTTCTAAACATTCCTAGTAATCTTCAAGGTGATCTTTCTTTCCATTAATATAATATACCCCTATAATAAAATATTATATAATCCAAACGCCCCCTTAGGGGTAAAATTATAACAAAATTAAGATTATCAAGTAATATTAGAATACTTAAGAAAATTGTGGTATTAAGATTACCACTTATATAACATATAATGATCCCTATTGGTATTTGTTGAGCCCTTATGTGTTTTGATGCGTCAAAACTAATCAAAAGTTGATTGAATTCTTACTAACATGCAAAGGTATACAAGAGTCATAATCATAATCAAAACAAAAATGTAGTTTTTCCCAGATGATATGACCATGCAAGAAGAAGGAACGACCATTCCTAGTTTCATAAGCTATCCAGATGAACATTCCACATAGAACAACCTTGTCCTGAGAGCTCATTCATGCTTCTGTCCAAAACCAATTCAAGTCGCTTGTAGTGGCACAACCAAGTTGCACGACCATTCCAAGAAAGTCAAAAGTCAAGATGTTCAAATTCAAATGATTTCATGCTTTTGACAGGTTTTGAAGATCAATCGTGAAGATTAAAATTGAAGTACAAGTGTTTCAACCAAAACGACCACGCCGTACAACCGTTCATATTCAAAAAATCATTCCTTGGGAGAACGACATTGTTCCAGGAAGCTGTCATGCTTTTCAAATTTTTATGGATTTTGAGGAGCCAATGGATCAACCATATATGGTGGAATGACCGTTCGCGGTGGTGGAATGCCCATTCGTGATGGTGGAATAATCATTCCATAAACCCTAGAGTTGAGTAAAAGTATTTGTTATGTTAGGAACGACCGTTAATGATGGTAGAATGACCGTTCCTCTAGGTACTGTAGCTTTTCAGAGGTGCATTAAATGCAGTGAACGACTCTTTATTTCAAAGGGGAGAGATAAACAATAAATAGAGTGATTTATTGCAAGAAAGACAGAGATAATATCAGAGAAAGAAAAGTCTTATTGATGCGTTTGTGAAGGCTTAGAGTGAGTTAAAAATAACATCAAACAACATCAAAGAACAACACTTCAAGTTGGGCAACAACTACTCCCCAGAATGGATTGAATCGACAACAACAACAACAACTCACAAAGATAGCAAACAACTACACAACAATAACACAAGATAAATTAAGGCAGATATCAATGATTTCCAAGTGTAAAGGCTACGCCACCAGCTTTGGAAGATGACTAACAACACAATCAACACAAGATAACATAAATGATAAAAACCTAACAATCCACGGCTTAAAGGTTACACTACCAGCCAATGGAAAATAGACACAATAAATAACAACTTACAAATTAAAGATACATATCAATGAACTCCACAGCATAAAAGCTAAGCTACCGGCTATGGATATCACTAGCAAGCCAATATCTCCAAGACGTAAAGGCAAAGCCACTGGTCAAGGAAGAACCACCACCAAATCTTGGCTGGAATTTGGATAAAGGATAAGAGTGAACAACTCTCACTAGAGCTCTCACATTTCATTTCCAAAAATTTAACTCTCAACTTGTATTACAATGAAGGAGAAGACCCCTTTATATAGGGTTACATTGGATGCCACATAGGAGAGAGAATTACAAAGTCAAATTCAAGATAATAATAAACTATGGGACACATTTTAATTAGCCACCCTAAATGTCCCCTAAAAGCCAAAATGCCTACAAACATAAGTAAGAACCTTTGACCTAGAAATTTCCCAAAATGGTAAGGAACATGAAGCCCCTAAGGATGACAACCTTGTCTTTGCCAAATCGGGAATGTCTTTAGCCGCCCATGTCATAATCTTGTCCACTCAATTAAATGTCTCCATGTGCATATGTTTGACTAGCCTTTGTTCCCTCCATTTTAACTTGAAAATCTTGGCTCCAACTATTCAAACTACACCTAAATAAATGGATTGGGTGTATTGGATCAACAATTTGAGGGGCTTGGACGAATTAGGCTTAACTTGAGCTCATCTTGCTGCATTCTTTCTCCTTGGGCCGAATTGACTATGGGTTTGGATTTGCCTTGCAATGTTACTTCAACTTAGGCCGATTTGCTTCTAGAATTATGAGTGGCTTTTCCCATGAACTTTGCTTGGCTCATATAAAGATTAATGGGCTGCCTCG